ATCCATTGTGAACTTAATTCGTTCATCAATCCGGTTTATAAACTTTATGAAATCCTCCAATTTTTCTCTTGCATACGACCGAATTTCGAAGCAATCATCCGGGTACCGCATAAGAACTATTGGTTGCCGCGGTTGTATCTTGAAATTCTTTTGTAATTTTATTCGTATATACATTTGCCAATAGAAGTGAGTGTGGCGATCCCATGGGAACTCCGAATGTCTGTCCATAGATGTTGTCATTGAATGTAGAGTAGGTAGTCTTTATTGTCAAGTTGATTAGCCGTTTTATTTTCTGTTAGGGGGACCTTCATTTCGGATGAAAGTGCATGAAGAAGAGATTCGTTGCTCGATCTCACCAGATGAGCACGGATGAATCTCGTTGTACTGCAGCCGTTTGACTTTTATACGATACTCATGCTGACGATCAGAGCCTGACATTAGCCTTTTGATCACTCTGCTTTAGAACCGGTATTGTGAATATACGTTGACACACACATACACTCATACACACGCACACACTCGAGCAATTGTATCAGGACCAGTATGAAGGATAATTAACCAAAACACTTTATATCTATCCAGGTTTTTTATTTTCTTTTACTTAATTGAGTCTATAAAAGAGGTATGCTAGAGCCGGATAGTCTGCTTGCCCTAGTGCCAACATAAGACTTTACCAGGAATGAGACACGGGTCTGATGATGTTCATGGAATGATGGACGAAAGCCCAGCCCATTTTTACCCGTAACTTCGTCAACCTGAACGTCGTATAGAAGCAAAACGGCTGCAGTACAACGCGATTCATCCGTCATCTTTTGGTGAGATTGACCTACGAATATCTTCTTTATACACTTTCATATGAAATGAAAGTCCCCATCCCTAACAATGTTATCTCAGTAGAATCATGGAAACCCAGTTTCTCTTGGTAAATCTAAATTCAACTTTACGCCACAGCGCTACGAGCCCAGTGCGTCATATGATAGAAATGAATTTTAAGCCAACCCAGGTCTCACTCATACAAATTCTATGGTGAGACTGTTGAAGAAGTAAACATCAAACTTAGCATTACCATCGACTGTGTTACTTTTTTTTATAAGTAGTAGTTTTTGATTCGATAAATTGAAATTCTATGCTGTCGCGGGCCTACTCATTTGATTTGGGAAAATTTCAATTAGAAGTCTTTCAGCAACTTATGTCATCTCGAGTGAATAAATCTTTGATTCAAGATCTACTGATAAGCTTGAAACCTATTTATTACGAATTTAAGTAAAGTAGGGTGACTAGAGCTTATAATCGAGAAAGTTGCCCATATGACAGCATGTTGCAAAGAGAAGAGAACTCACAGGTTTTCTGCTAACGGGAAGCAAATAGGATGGAAACTAGTCCATTCTGAATAAAGAGACCTGTTGAACACAATGTGGAGCGGTATCGAATGGTGAGTTTTGGCTTTTGTCTTAATCATCCTATTGGATCTTGGGCGTCTAAGGCCCCATATTGTGTCCAACTTTTTAACTTCTATTTACTGATAGGTCTTGACGCTAACAAACTCTTTCTGCAATTGAGAGGGATTACTCTTGAGTGAACTACTAATTCAAAGAGAGATAGAAACATACATAACTGGCAATTCTTCGTATGATTCGAACTTGCTGCGGACTTACCTGCCAACCAGATCATTCTACAATTTGGTTTAGATGGTGTGCCGAGGTCAGGTGTCACCATCACTCGGCCGGCAAGTGACTTTGGCCATCTGCGAGGCCGACAACCTTTTGTAGTGGAAGGCTCGCTCAGATACGGAATCAAGCCGGTGGTCTTCCAGAGCAGGTCATAGTGCTCGAGAGCTGTTGTCTCACCTGAGACCAGCTGGTAGCCGCGTGGCAAAGAGATTCGAATGCAACTGCTCTTGCGGCATGACGGAGTTAGATTCTCTTTCACCTCGTCTACACAGGTCGGCGACTCGACAACAACTGAAGATGCACCTCTGGGGTTGACAACAAGAAGGCGAAGTTCACAGCTCTTGGGCAAATAACAGACCAAATAGCCCTGACCCAAAAAAGTAGGACACAAGAGATATGGAGAAATGGGGAAAGGTGAGGCAGTCAATGAAAGAAGTAGTTTCAAACGGAGAAGGAGAAGGAGAAAAGTTGCTGGGGCGACTTTCATTTCGTATGAAAGCACATGATGAAAGTATTCATAGGACGGTCTTACCAAAGGACGACGGTCCATTCTAGTTTGGCTTTACTACGACGTACAGGTTGGCGCAGTCAACAAGGCATCCTATCTCATTTCGGGTGGAAATGAGCTGAGCTCTCCTACATTAAGTGACGGACATCTTGAGAGCTAGAGCTCAATTTTGTAAAAGTTTCATGTCAGCAAACATTAATTTGAAAAGTAATCCTTGCAATTGTCTGACCAGAAGCCGAAGGAGCAGTGCCAGCCCATTGAACATGTACTTGCAGCGAAACATCTCATCAAAGCGAAAATCAACACTTTACAAAATAGCGCGAAAATGTACTAAACCACATTTTTTCTTGGTGTAGTATATCTTTTAGTTTTTTTTCTAAAATAGCAGGCATTCTTGCCCTGATGATGCCTGCCACGACGGTACAGACGAACGATTAGCGTAGGCTCGTCAGGATGGGGCAGGACAATGAACCGTAGACTTTTTCATACAATCCAACCGAATGAGTTCCAGCTCTGAGGATGCCCATAATGTGATAGACGAAAGCCTAACCCATTTTGGCCTGAAACCAGAAAGAATGCTTCGTGGACTGCGCCAACATGAACATCGTATTAAAGTCATAATGGCTGCAGTTCAACGAGAATGGTCCGTCGTCTTCTGGGACGATCAGCCAACGAATCTATCCATCATCCACTTTCATACGAAATTAAAATCTTCTCAACAATGTTGCCCAGGTTACTTTTCGATTCAGAAATCCTGTTTACGGGAGATGTGGAAAGGTTGGGTTCCGAGGAATCTTTTGCTTGACAAGTGTTGGGCTCACTTCCGATTGAAGAAGAGTGTGTAATGAAGAGATTCAAAAGACGATCGCACCCAAAGTCGAGGGCGGACTCTTCTTGACCAACTGTTGGTTGGCTTTTCTGGCACCGTCCGGATGAAGCTGTGCCCAAAGGATTTTTCCCTCGATCTGCCAAGCTTTTATCGATCATATTGACAAGCATTACCTGAGCACGGTGGTAGAAAATTGAGTAGGAACTACTTGTGCTTTATTTTTTTAATTAAGTATTGTTATCGTGACTACCAGTAAC